GACATAATCCTTGTACACACTAAGCGGGTAATTCGAATTTGTTATATGCATTTTAATTGTTTGAATTTCATAGGGTGGGAACTGTTAGCTCCGGATAAATTTATTTGAGTAATATAGAAATTTTATTAATATTGCACAATAAAATTATAACGTTGACGCATTTGAAAAGAAAAGTTCAGATAAACTCTTGTACTTGTACGTGCCCTTACTTTTCTGCTGCGGGCACGCAAAATTTATATTCAATCAATTTGGAATATACCGTAGATATACATTCATGTATATTAATGGAATATTTGTTTTGAACATACTAGGTATATTCACCTGCACATATACACAATATGTACATACCTGGCATGTTCATCTGCACACATACCCAATATGTACATACCTAGGATATACTTTTTATATTCCACGAACATTCATGTTAGGAATGTTCAACCATGTATATTCCCAGGATATTCCCGCAATGTTCTATATATTTTTTGAACATTCTGGGATATTCATAGAATATCAAATGCTATCTGGGTAGTGCTGATTAATGGAAAGCATGCGATAGTAAAACCAATGCTTCTGCAGGCACACTCAATGGCGCAACTCAACTACCCAATGCCATGCTGCCAGAATGCTTGGATGGAGCAGCAGCCATGCTGTTACGATCCATCTCATGGCAGCAATATGAGTCTCAACATGATGCCTGGTGGCTATCCGGCAAACCCCATGTGGATGGGCACTTGGCATGGACCACCACCTGGCATGTACCCATATGGGCTGCCACCACCACATTCTCGGTACTTGCATAAATATACAGCGAATATTTCGGGAAGTAATGCGATGCCGATTATTTGCGATCTGAAACTTCTAGCATTCCGCATTTCTGGGGCTGTTTCTTATTAAAAAATAAATTCTTTCGATTCACTACCACTAAGCTACTTGCGTTTGATTGCTGCGGATTATTGCAGTTGCATCGCAACTTAATTATAACTAATAATCTCTGTTTTTAAAGCGGCTGTTCCCATTCGCGGCCAGCTTCACCCACCCAAAGCGTGAAGTCCAGAAAATCAACGCTAAGCAAGAAATCGCGAAGAAAGTATCGGGACGAGACCTCAGATGAGGATTCGAATGAAATCGACGACAGACGCTCAGTCTTCAGCCACTCTGATAACCGGAGCGAAAGGAGGTCGCATGGAGGCCGATTTTCAGCTCGAGATCGCGCCTTAAGAGAGACCGCGTCTCTGCCCAAAGAGTCGTCGAGGAGGGCGATGAGCAGCAAAAACAGCGACCGAGCAGAGAAAACTTCGATCGCTCGCAGTAGAGTGAGCATCGCGGAGAGCTCAAGTGGGGAAACTGATGATGAACAGAGTGATGACAGCTTGCACAGAGCGGACCTTCTAGAGGAAGATGAAGACCGAGCTCTAGTCAATCCGGTTGAAGTGCCGGATTCAAGCTGGAGCTGTGAGCATTGCACTTTTGTCAATGATCCTGGCACTAGAGTGTGTTCGGTTTGCTGCAAAACACCCACATGCAAAGTTAAGCAGATCAACAGCGAACCATCGGCAAAAAAGCCCAACTCTGATAGTCCCGTATCATCGAAAAAACCACCTGTGGGGCGGATTGTTAATATAAAAGCCAAAGAAAAGGACAACAGCAAGTTTAATAAAGTGTTGCAAAGCCCAAGCTCTGATGATTACAGTGCGAATAGCGCCAAAGATTACAGCGAAACGGAGTCAATGCAAACCCGACTGGAAAAGCTTAACATCAAAAGTACAGAGCCTGAGAAAAAGATTCCAGATGCGAAATCTAAAGGTAGGACTCTCAGAAAGATTAGCTTTTGGCCAGGCACAAAGTTTACTGCCTCCTTTTATAGGAACAAGTAACCGTTTCTGTCATCCTCTAACAAATTTAGTGTATTGTTGTGTTTATGTGCTGTGCTTAGGTGCTTGTACTAATGACGTTAGTGTATAGTGTTTGAAATGTGCTTTTAGTGCCTCGTTTGTGTCTCGCACTTTGACCGTCTCTCCCTTTGTAGAAAAAGGCATTAGTGAAAAGACTGATAAATATGAAGACTTAGATAATAGTGATTTAAGCATCGGTAATAATCAAGAGGCGACTGCGAAAGTATCCACAGCCTGCGGTGCTTCGCCCCCTAGAGATATCCAGATTGAAAGCACCGAGGAAGCTCACAATGAGAAAACTTTTTCCACTGCCAGTACAGGGACTTCGCCGCCACCTCAAAGTATCTCCACTCAGGTGAGTTCTAATAAACACTTGTGTTTATTAGAATTAGTCCAGAGGGTTTACAGCGTGTGTGATTTTAGACCTACGAGGAGATACATCCGAATGGATCCCAAAGCTCTTTATCAAGGAGTCCAAGGCCGCAACGAGCCAGATCGATGAGCAAAAGCGGCAGAAAACAGGAACTGAATCGATCCCATTCAATGCACGCAAGTTCTTCGAGAAAAGGTTCAGAGTGGTCGTTGCAGCGATCGTCAAGTCGTCAAAGTTTTACTACGGACTCACAAGTAAGTTTCGGTTTCAAGTGCTTGAAATGGAGGAAAAAAATTCATCACATATAATAAGATCCATCATTCGAAAATCCATAAATCGAAAATTTTACTTGTGGGTTTTTTGAGTTCGATCGGTTCTTTTCGACGCAAGAAGGTCACCAATATGCATTTGTGTTTGACTCAATAAAAAGGAAGAAATCGTCGGATAAAGATCGTGAACGCTCAAAAAACGCTTAAAATGTGCCCAAAATTTCAATTTTTTCGGATCTGAAACTTCTAGCATGTTTTTCAATGAGTTCGATGCATTCCTCGCGCCCGTGAGCTGAAAATGATGTAAAATTTAAGAGATTTTGAGAAAATTTTAATTTTTTCAAAAAATCGACGAAATTTCACATGCTTGTTTTTTGAGCTCAATCGATTCCTTTCGACATAAGAAGGTCACAAATATGCATTTATAAAGTGTTTGGGTCAATAATAAGGAAGAAATCGTCGGCTAAAGATCGTGAACGCTCAAAAAACGCTTTAAATGTGCCGAAAATGTCTATTGTTTCGGATCTGAAACTTCTAGCATATTTTTCCATGAGTTCAATGCATTCCTCGCTTCCGTGAGATGAAAGTGATGTAAAATTTAAGACGTTTTGAGTAAATTTTAATTTTTTCAAAAAATCGACCTCCACCCTTGGAAAAATTTCGGTCAAAAATCAAAATTTCACATGCGTGTTTTTTGAGCTCAATCGATTCCTTTCGACATAAGAAGGTCACAAATATGCATTTATAAGGTGTTTGGGTCAATGATAAAGAAGAAATCGTCCGCTAAAGATCGTGAACGCTCAAAAAACGCTTTAAATGTGCCGAAAATGTCTATTGTTTCGGATCTTGAACTTCTGGCATATTTTTCAATGAGTTCAATGCATTCCTCGCTCCCGTGAGAAGAAAATGATGTAAAATTTAAGACATTTTGAGGAAATTTTAATTTTGCCAAAAAATCGACCTCCACCCTAGGAAAAATTTCGGGCAAAAATGTAAATTTCACATGCATGTTTTTTGAGATCAATCGATTCCTTTCGACATAAGAAGGTCAGAAATATGCATTTATAAGGTGTTTGAGTCAATGATAAGGAAGAAATCGTCCGCTTAAGATCGTGAACGCTCAAAAAACGCTTTAAATGTTCCGAAAATGTCTGTTGTTTCGGATCTGAAACTTCTAGCATATTTTTCAATGAGTTCAATGCATTCCTCGCTTCCGTGAGATGAAAATGATGTAAAATTTAAGACATTTTGATAAAATTTTCATTTTTTCGAAAAATCGACCCCCACCCTTGGAAAAATTTCGACCAAAAATAAAAATTTCACATGCGTGTTGTTTGAGCTCAATCGATTCCTTTCGACGCAAGAAGGTCACAAATATGCATTTATAAAGTGTTTGGGTCAATAATAAGGATGAAATCGTCGGCTAAAGATCGTGAACGCTCAAAAACGCTTAAAATGTGCCGAAAATGTCTATTATTTCGGATTTGAAGCTTCTGGCATGTTTTTCAATGAATTCGATGCATTCCTCGCGTCCGTGAGCTGAAAATGATGTAAAATTTAAGACATTTTGAAAAAAAATTAATTCTTTCAAAAAATCCACCCTCACCCTTGGAAAAATGTAGGCCAAAAATCAAAATTTCACCTGCGTGTTTTTTGAGCTCAATCGATTCCTTTCGACATAAGAAGGTCACAAATATGCATTTATAAAGTGTTTGGGTCAATAGTAAGGAAGAAATCGTCGGTTAAAGATCGTGAACGCTCAAAAACGCTTAAAATGTGTCGAAAATGTCTATTATTTCGGATTTGAAGCTTCTGGCATATTTTTCAATAAGTTCGATGGATTCCGGACGCCCGTGAGCTGAAAATGATGTAAAATTCAAGACATTTTGAGGAAATTTTCATTTTTTCAAAAAATCGACCTCCACCCTTGGAAAAATTTCAACCAAAAATGAAAATTTTACATGCGGGTTTTTTTAGCTCAATCGATTCCTTGCGATGTAAGAAGATCACAAATATGCATTTATAAAGTGTTTGGGTCAATAGTAAGGAAGAAATCGTCCGCTGGAGATCGTGATCGCTCAAAAAACGCTTTAAATGCGCCAAAAAGTCTATTATTTCGGATCTGAAACTTCTACCATTCTTTTTAATGAGTTCTATGCATTGCTCGCGTCCGTGAGCTGAAAATGATGTAACATTTCAGAAATTTTGCAAAAATTTTAATTTTTTTCAAAAAATCGACCCCCACCCTTGGAAAAATTTCGACCAAAAATCTAAATTTCACATGCCTGTTTTTTGAGTTCAATCGACTCCTTTCGACGTGAGAAGGTCAGAAATATGCATTTATAAAGTGTTTGGGTAAATAATAAAGAACAAATCGTCGGTTAAAGATCGTGAACGCTCAAAAAACGCTCAAAATGTGCCGAAAATGTCTATTACTTCGGATCTGGAACTTCTAGCATGTTTTTCAATGAGTTCGATGCATTCCTCGCGCCCGTGAGCTGAAAATGATGTAAAATTTAAGAGATGTTGACAAAATTTTCATTTTTTCAAAAAATCGACAAAATTTCACATGCGTGTTTTTTGAGCTCAATCGATTCCTTTCGTGTTTGCCCTTAAACCTCGAAAC